CTTAAATTAAAGACATCCAATGTGACTCCAGGGCAGCAAAGCTGGAAATATTTTGAATAAGGCAATCTTTGTGATATTGAAACACACTGCTTCACATTTGAGTCAGTATTTCATACTTTGGACTTTTAAGACTGCAGAAACAAGTCTCAAGATGAGTCCTTTATTTTCTGGGGGGTATCCTGAAAATCAGCCAAGGACCCTTCCAGTAACCATTTTGCGTCAAAATTTTTGGTATTGTTGCTCCATGAGGGTCAATATACATTGGGATAGTGTGGTTTTATGTAGATAAATGGTTAGAATATTGACTTTGAAAAATCGGGTTTCCAAGCCCTAAAAACTGCTCTGGCTGTCTTTAACTAATGACCATGCCGCAGTATACATTTATCTTCTATATTCAGGAAACTAAAATAGCAACAATTTTTGAGAGCAAACATAAATCTAAAAGCAATCAATGGTGAAGGTTGTATAACAATGGTGAATATGGCACCAGATGTCGGGTCTGAGGTCACTTGAAAATTTTTGAGAAACTGTGCTGAAATCTAAAGGTCGAAGCAACTGACTGTACAACTCTTTTCTCCGTCAAACTTTTCGTCTGCATAACAGACCATTCTTAGTGTCTTTGTTATTGCCTTTGTCTCTACTATTGTATTATTGTATTTTTAAAAATGTACGTACATATTAATGTACTATAGTATGTAACTGTATATCTCACTAAGAATGTAATTTGTAATATATATTCCCATGCATGTCTAACGATATTCATCTTTTTCCCCAGGGTGTCCCTTAGTAATAGTCTTTGACTAGTTGGGACACCCTGGGTTCTTTGTAAGCCTAAATAAATAAATAAATAAATAGTGTCTTTGTGTTAATTAAAAATATTCGTACTTGCACTGTGAGTATAGTTCCGATTTGTAACATCAACACAATCCAGGAGCACATGTATAATGTATATCGGTATGTTGGTTCAAATGAAGAAAGAGTGACTATTTTAGTTTTGATACGGCGCCAACAGTTTTTACCCCAAGGGGCAATCCTAGTCTGATATTTCTTTCACGCAAAACGGGTTACGCATATCTGGATGTATGTAAGCTCGTGCTGTAAACACATTACAGATACAAGTTCCAAATTTTGTATAATTTAATATATATAACTCTTTTACTTCGTAGGTTATTTCATATGCTTTAATCACGTCTCGATCTGAATTGTGATTGTCCCTACGCAGTTCAGCCAGTGTTTTGGCTGCTATGTATGTGGCAACGGTTATTGAAATACACCACTCATATATATACATATATTCCTTCATTGAAATTGCTTACCCTAGTACGAGTCCTTCACCTCCAAAAAGGACCTAGTACATATATCTCATCAATATCTCCCAAAGAAAAAGAAAAGAAAGGTCTCCCGTGCTAATATGCAGAGCGTAGGGTGGTGCAATGCACTACAGCAGGGGGCTAGTCCGCTGGTAGTGCTGTGTGTTTGACCTCCCCACACTGTTTCTCATATGTGCTGGGTGCTGAGCAGAGAAAGAAGTGTGTACCATTTTTAAAGTCTTTGGTGTGACCCGGCCGGGGTTCGAACTTACGACCTCCCGGTTACAAAGCGAGCACTCCACCAATTGAGCTATTGCACCAGTCTAATGTTTTCCAGGAAAATTATATTCCAGGAAAAAAAACACAGCTGATGGTAAAATGATTTAGGAAGCCAGATGAAAGGAAAATTTATTTTGCCTTACAAAATCAATACTTTGTGTAAGGTGAATTATGACAAGGTCTTCAGGCATAAACTATTTTGAGGAAAAATAAGTCTACATCGTTGGCCCATCTGTTCCTGGAATAATAGCAACTTATGTACGTCAAGCGATATTCCGGCAGCCAATTTTTTGTCTCCAAACAACTCTACAAAAGAATAATCACCTCTGGGGCTGTCATTTTTTCAACATTTTATTTCCGAAATCGGTTTATGACAAACCCAGTTATTCACCCTGGCGTGAGTCCTTCACCTTTACATAGATAATCTTCTTCGTCGTCATTCTTCCTAATAATAACATAAATAATGGATGTATCTAATTATCTTCCAGCTTCTCGAAAAACCACGGCGGTAAGAGGAATTACATCAAAGGAAACGCCACAAGATGAATGTGTAGTTCTGAGATAAGGAAAATAAGCATGCTTTTCTACCAGCCGAGACATAAATCATTAAGGCACAAATAAGATTAGGGAATTCTTACTGATTGGCTGTTGAAATTAATTCTGCCACAGCCCCACAGACCTTATAAATCATTATCGCTAAATAAGAGGTCGCAAAAAGCCAAATACAAACAACGAAAATGTATGAAAGTATGCAAAGGCGGCTCCCCATACAAAACTACAGACTGCCCAGTAGCGAGTAGAGAATTGCCAAGTCATGAAGGTGTCTGTCTAGCCGTTTGGCGGGAAAATGTGAAACTTAATCCAACACCGTCCTTCATAAAAGATGTCTGACTAGACCTTTGGCGGGAAAATGTGAAATTATATCCAACGCTATCCTTCATACAAGATGTCTGTCTAGACGTTTGGCGGGAACTTGAATGTGAAACTAAATCCAACACCATCCTTTATTCAACAAACAGCATGTATATCCTTCAACCATATACTGATGAAATGCTTTGAAACTCATGGTTTGGAACCGATCACGTTTGGAATACCACATGCATTCCACTATGTACTCTCCAACTGCTGAGTTGTCTACCGTTATTGCCAGTCTACCGTTATTGCCAAAGCAAGTAATTTTCGCCTGATTTCGGAAAAAAAAATTTTGTTGCCTTCTGACAGTGGTCAACATGCCGACAATGGGCGAAGATGTCTATTGCCATGCCGGAAGATAACTTTGAAGAGAGGAGACAAGAAAAGGCTCTGATTTAATCTTTTGTTTCTTACTTGATGCAGTGATGTGATGCATGTGATGCTGGTTGTGTATATGTGATGTTCCCACTGAATTAAAACCATTTGTACAGTGATTGAGTCAAAATTTTGAAATGTAGAAACCTTGTTTTTCTCGGCCCGTCTGTTTTTTTTTCGCCTGCTCACAAAATACGATTTGAAGTCTGCGGAGGATTTCATCAATGAAATTTACTTGCCGTGGCCTTACTGCAGTTATTCAATGACAGATCATCATACCACAGCAGAGCCATTGTCTCATCGATTATGGTGACTTTGCTATTCGAATTCCTTCCATGGCTGCTGAAGAGACGCGGTATATTGTTACTGTCCAAATAGCACGGATGGAAATCGATATGGAAATCACTGAAGGATGAACGAAGGGATATTTTGCTTTCATAAAGCCTGCCCCAAAGTTCATCCAGTGAGTGACAAAATGTCTCCCATTGATAAATCAATTGAAATAAACAGACAGAAATCAACGTGTATCACTGCTTTGTATTTTTTATGCACATTGTCTTTATTTATTGGCATGGTGGCCTTGAAAAGGTGCACTTATGTCCATCTGTTCCACCATGCCTTCCATGTACATGTGTATGTGGTGATTTGTATTATATAAATAAATAAATAGTAACGAGAACAAACTTCATGACAAATGTAGCATCTAGCTATATTCCGTAGTGTCTTGTTTCAAGGTGAGTGAATTTACTTCTGCCATGATGCCAGATTTATTTGTATTGCTTGCTTTATGTCCCTTGGACTTGACTGCATAGTAAAGCGACCAAATGCCGATATTTTCACGCCATGTTAAGTTTAACGTCCTTTTGGTGTCACTAAATTCGGGTGTAGGTCAACAAGATGGCTGCCGCAGTGAGTATGACGTCAGCTTTTCTAATTGAAAATGTTCGATGGATGACATGGAAATCTGATAATCATGGCGATGCCTAAGAAAATAGTTTATAATTCGAAACGTGCAATTAGTTTAGTTTATTTAGTTAATTATGATTTTTTACAAAGTGAAAGGGAGGGCAAAACATGTGCATACGCACCTTTACAAGTTGCCCTCCCCCATACAAAAACACATATACAAAATCATATACAACATCAAAATTTACATATCAATTAATCTATTTTTTATCCAATTTGAGGGACCTTATAACGAGTTATTCAGCTACAATGTATCCAAACATGTCATACATTATTTCTCCGTTCTACAGCCACTATCGTTATTATTATTGTTATTTTTATATTTTGTATATTCATGTTTTTATTATTTGTTATGGAGTAGTCAGCCTTGTTAAAGATCCTATCCTGTTTCATGACTCCTATCAGAGTTTCTCTGTAAATCTCAATAAATAAAAACGTAAGGAAATATGACTATAAAAAAACAACTTCTTCTGAAGCACCAGTTATGGTCGTAGGTATGGCGTGCCAAAAACTGGGGGTTTTGGGGGTCTTTGGGACCTTTTATGTGCTATTTTCTGATTACATATAGACAACATAGCCGGCCTGGTTGAATTACCCCCGTTTTTTAGAACTGGGCTTATCAGAAAACAGCCGAAGACCACCAAACCCCTACAAGTTCTATAAGCCTGCTACGGAGGCTACCAGTTATGGTCGTAGGTATGGCGTGCCAAACTGCATCACACAGATGGTACTTACACGGCACGTACTTTGCTAAAAGCATGCAAATCCCCGAGCCATCTCTAATCTTCGTTAGGCACCTTCTGCTGACATTAGCTCATTGAAGCAAGAGCGTTGCGCATGTCATCCCATTGCCACGCCCCTCTTTGACTGATAGTCAAAGAAAACATCCCCAAAGTTCTTTAAAATGCAACCTTGTCTTCAACGGGGAAGGGACTCCAAAATTATATATTGCACAGTGTAATCATTGCTAATGCTTAGCTGTGCAGACGCTCCATCTATATAAAGACATCTATGAACACTGTGATCTTCTGCCAAAGAACCGTCATTGGGCGATGGACCGGTCCGCATTATATATGCAAATTCTATGGCTCCTTCACTTGAGTGAGTCTGGCAGTTCCGATTGCAGCAGCCGGATCGCTCCATCCCCAGCCTCTCTACGCCTCTTCTCGTCTGCGGCTCTTCGGAAGGGACGGTTTCTAAATTTTCTCAACTTTTTTTCGGGAAACGTTCGTCTGAAGTTGACCATACAAGATGCCGAGGGTAAGAATACATCTCATTTCCTTACCTTAGGCTTCTCGTGGTAATAACAACATTAGTTTTCTGTACTTTCCTAACGATTTACTGAAAAATTGTAAGCAAAACGTGCTATCCTTTTTAACGGCAACACCATCTTCAAAGGTGTATCTTTCGGGTTTTAACTCAGTGTTTAACTGTTCCCTTCGGCTTGTCAAATACAAAGTTCTTACCGCATACATGCAGCAAGTTCGTCAGGCATCGCTAAATGCTAAGAGGTTTATATATACCGTGGTTTGAAAGGATTAATGTTATTTCACGCAGTCTTGGTGGGATTTGGATTTTGATAGATGGCCCCATTTTATGGCCTTGTTAAATTATTCAACATGTAACACGTTTCATTATTCTTGGGGAGATTTTGCAGTCAAGTTTTCTTTTACTACATGAATGTTATTGTTAACGGTTTACCGTTACGTTAGTTCTATTTCGTGCACAAGTTTTACCGAATGCACACCGCGCGTTTGATCTAGTTTGGGAAGGTTCCAAACGTAGAACGATGCTCCACAAAAGCTCCAAACGGCGGAAACTGTCCCCAAGTAAGAAGATTAAACAGTTGAAGGTCGAGAGTTGACAGAAGGTTAGAACAGATTGGAGGTAGTGTCTGTCCACTGGGATACCTCCCTCCCGCGGGACCTCAATATAAACCGTTAAGGATCTTAATGATCGATAAGATGGAAATGTCTTAGGTAAAAGCCCAAGGATCATAAATATTCAGAGATTCTTTTCCAAGTACGTTTACGTACTAAGCAAACTTCAAGCCAGCAGACAAGTGACACGTTTAGATTAAAAGACAGCAACAATGTTTCTAATTTGGTCCTACATGGTGTCTTATTAAACCATCTAATCTTCAGCATTCGGCAATGTTACACGAATTACTTCATTCCTCAGCACACGTATATCAGATTACGATCAATTAATCAAGTTAGAGTTGCGAATTCGCTCGACAGCCTGGCAGCTAAGTTCTGATACGGAGACAAGAGGCAATTACTAGTCTCTCCTGAGGTCCTCTTATTGCAAACCAGATGGCAGAACTAATAAGACAGAAAAGAAATAACTTGGGGTCGTGTAGCGTAAGAACAGAGCGTTTGGCTCGAAACCGAATAGGTCCCGAGTTCGAATCCTATCATGCCACCGACCTTGTGTCCTTGGGAAATGCACTTTACACGCACAAATTTCCTCACTTCAGTCAGGTAAAATGAGTACGTCTGTTTTCCGTTCATTCGTTTTTCTGCTGCGTTGGTGGCAGCAGAAAAATAAGTTGAAAAAAGCTTGAGTGTGCCGTCGCAATATCTTGTAATAAATGTTGGAATAGAAAAAAAAAGAAAGAAAGAACTGCATGCAGCCCTCTTAAAAACATCCTTTCTGTCCATACACGTATCTCGTCATGGTTTACGCTGTTAGCAATAGAGGTTGGTTTCCTTTGTCATGATACTCTCCTGTAGATTTTGCGGTTACAAGAGGAAATCGTTCTTGTCAGATTATCTGAATGTCGTGGACAGAATTATGTTCTTGTTGGACACGACCAATAAAGCAAAAGGATTACATGTCTGCACAGTGTGATAAATTTGGAGATAAGGTATCCAAACTTGCATGAAAAGCTGTCACACTGCAGTACAATCGACAGACACATCCGTTACAGTACGGCTGCTTGTCGTCGCGTGTATTCTGTCTCTAGTTTTAGATCGATACAGAGTTAAGCTTGAAGCTGGGGCCAACTGCGTAAAGGGATCGTGAAGCACAGAAACTGTGTCAAGTAAACCAAGAGAAAAGCCACAAGAGATTTGCAGCAAAAGCTTTATCTACATAAATGTCAACTGCAAAAGACGATTTTTTTTCGTCTCAAACCATCGGCTTTTCAATGAACACGGTATTCAGCAACTACATGTAAGGGGCTGCACAGAACAAATATTTCATACGTACCGTTTTCATGCACGCAAAGACCCAAACAGAATGGTTAAATACAGAAAAGATTAACTTAATTTCGAGGATGTTACAACAAAGTGACAAGAAAATCGAGCGACCTAGTTTTCACTTCTGCAACATTAGCTCCTGAAAAAAAAAACTATGGGGTAATTTGAAGCGCAAACGCAAATGCATAACCATGATACTTGCTATAGCAAATATAACTAGTCTTTTTGACGAGTAGACCTCCTTTAAAGTCACAAAGAAATCCATTTGGCAAAGCAAATGTTACCTATAGGGGGGTACAATCAATATCCTAGGCAATAATGGGCCCATAACAATGCAAGACGCATGCTTACTGCGACAGCATATCTTACCACTTTGCCGCATTGCGTTTTGGTATCCATGTACTCTCCAAGCAGAGGTTTGGGTTTGGGGTTATTTTTGACGTGTTTTTAGGCTTTTTTATCGGGGTTTCTCTTTTGCACTGAAATTTTTTTTCACCCAACCCAACCTCTGCCGGCAGTCGAAAGCTTCAACGTGCTATAAACCTAATGATTTCAACACATTACGGTCGTTCTGCAAGTAGGTGTGAACCAGACGCATGAATATAGGCACAGTCAGCAGGAGGCGTGTGGCCGAATGAATGCCTTTCTGACTGGCTGGATGTGTGATAATCCACCACAGTAAAATGGATATCCCTAATGATAATTTGATGGTTCCCGGGGAGGAGCACTGTCACGTTTCCTGAATAGGTTTGCCCCGCCCCGGGGTGAGTGCCGGCAGAGGTTGGGTTGGGTGAATAAAAAATTCTAGTGCAAAAGAGAAACCCCGATAAAAAAAAGCCTAAAAACACACCAAAAATACCCCCAAACCCAAACCTCTGCTTGAAGAGTAGTAGCCCTGCACGGTGGGGACCTAGCCAGCCAGTCAGCCAGGGTTGCATGGGGCTTAAATATCAATCACGTTTATTGCAGTTTTTCCTTACTTAATCCTTAGTTTCCCTTTCCCCATCTGCTTCTACTTTACGGAAGAGTGTGTGGATATATTGGATAGAATAAGGCAATGGGTAGGTCAAGTTAGTCTCTACCAGACTAACTACGCTGGCTATATATAGAAGAATATTTGCCAGGGGAGTTTGACGGGGAGGGAAAGAAACTACCTCCCCGCGGCCGGACTCCCTCGGACAATTTTACTCTCCTTTTTGAAGAATTCTACGATCCGTATTCCCGTAGAAAGACCTGGTGTAGGCTATAAGGCCAAGTAGGAAATAGTAAGGAGCATCAGTTGGCAAATCAGGCTTTCCAGTACGGGAAGGCATACTACTAAAACGACTATAGATGTAAGGTTTCCGCAACGATGGTAGTATCTAAATTCTCATTACGTAATGATTTACGTGCAGAACTGTAAAAGGATGGCAGCTGTTTCACGCTATGATTAAGGAGAATTTCAATAATGATCTAATGAAACGTATCTAATTTCAATTTGTACCTGTTATCAAGCACGGTACACATCTCAATGCAAATTATCCATATCTTTATTGATTAAAATTGCGTTGTGAAAAGATGGGGGCTGACCGCTGGCTCGATGCCGTTGTAATTATGGATTCGTTTCTTTTGACAAATTATCGGAACTGCAGCAACAATTCTGGAACAAAGCCAACCTGACACACAAATTTCCTACTGCAGTAGGATTGGTGCAAATCAAGGAATCAAACATTTTCCTAATTACACTAACAGTTATTATTTGGATATATCGCAGGTCTACTAATGAAAAAGTCGTATTTTATTACTCTTATTAATTAAGTTAATGCAGATAAATACGTACTTTTTGTCGACATTAGTAAAAATTCAAAGTAAGGTTTCGTAAAGAATAGTAAGTGGGGTCGTGTGGAACCAAGAGGTCCCGGGTTCGAGTCCTGAACATGCCACCGATCTTGTGCCCTTGCGAAAAGCACTTAACACGACTTTCCTCACTTTACTCAGGTTCAAATGAGTATTGTATTGTCCCCTGTGTTGGTGGCGGCATCAATATGACTTGAAAAAATTGAGTGTGCCGTCACCACGTCTTGTGATAATATGGAATATAAGAAAAGAAAAGAATAGTAAGTGGTAAAAAGTTGCAAGGGTGAGAATATGTTTTGCCAAAGTCGCATTTTTCTTCACTTCACTCTTAAACTACCCGTAAGCTGATGAATGAAGACGGTATAGAGTGTATATATACAAGGAGGTTAATCCTCTTGGTACATGCAACGCTTAAACGATATTCACAATCGTCCCCCGTTGATCCAACGATAACACATTAGCCCTGATATACTACCATCGTCCTCCGATACCACAGTTAGGCCACACCGGTTCAATTTCTTGGTTAATGGAATTTTATACGAGAATAATGGAGCGGGCGGGCGGCCGAAAAAAATAAAAACAGGCCTAGGCATCCTATCATGGCCCAAAATGGTACAATAGGAGCCATGAAGTCAACACACCAGGCTGGTTCAAAATCTAAACAATGAATTTTCAACTTTTAATGATACCATTCCATTGAAAGATGTAATAACAGTTACTGTAACGACTAGGAAGAAAAGGACTGTTTTCAACTGTTCAGGGCAAAATATGAGCATTTTGCAGTTGATTCTGAATTCTTATTTTTTTTTTTGCGAATCAGAAAAGAAAATGAAGAGGGCAAATCCGAGAACCAACAAATTAAATTGGTGTGGCCTTACTTGGGATTAGGTCCAGGCTTATCGACCTTACTAGATTGTCTTTCCGACGAACATCGATGTGGACTGACATCGATTGTAGTGGGTTAATGTGGCGCCGAATATGCAATGTATCTTGGAATGGACGTGGGACCTATGATTAAACATAAAGTCAGACACAGGAGGACATCTGCTAGGATTATACATAACAATTTAGTACGGAAAGTGGAACCTTCAAGTGATCTTTCTAATCCATGGCCAGTAAAAGATGCAGCCTCACCAGTTTGTCTTGGTTAGTCTTTAACCCTCTTTAAGTCTAATGGTTCTAGGGTGAATCTTTAGTTATCCTTGGTAAAATTGGATCTCA